CGTTCCATAGGGAAAAAAGTGAAGAAGAACTAAACAGCATCAAGCAGGAGCACTCTCAGCTGACGAACGAAGAACAGAAACAGGTCACCCCAGTGAGGGTAGATGGTCTTCTGACCGGCGTCGATTCTACTCTACTCGATAGCAGCGTTTCGCCAAGTACAGCTGCTTCCTCAACATGTTCAGCCTCAAACCGTCCAATCTGCAGCGTTGCCCCTCTTCGGCAGCCACACGAATCACTGCCAGTCTGTTCTGGTAAATCTTACAATCTTTTTTGTACTGTGTAAGTTAAGGCGATTTACATTCAGTTTTTCACAGGCTATAACAAGCCCCCAAAACTGAATATGTTTTTTTGAGAAATTTGATGGATTTTTTTCACCTGACAGAAAAAGAAAACAAACAGTTGGCAATATATACATAAGAAATAGTAGCAGTATGTTCATGTCCAACACAATTAACTTAGATGTAGCCGTTCATAGGGTGAACTGATCAGATAGTGATGCTGTTAAGAATTATGGTGTGCTGGCATATTATTTGTAAAAGTCCCGTAAACGTGACTCAATGGACTACCAGTTATTCCATAAAAAGGAAACTTTGTGTCGGTACGATAAAAGATTATCTTATTCATAACCACTAAACTTTTCCATTAGAGCTGCTAGCACTCCTCAGCCTATATCGAGGTCGCTGAATCGATAGCACGTCGAACTCGGAACCGAAAAGTCACCGGTTCGAGTCTCGTTCAGATTATTCAACTTCTTTCTGGTTTGTTGTTATTGTCGTTTGTTGAGACCGTTACCTTGAACTGTTTACTAAAGCAGAAAGCCTCTGCTTCATGTCCGCAGCTTTTCAGCAATTTAGCTTATAAGCATCGGTTACTGCATCGCAGAAGGGAATACTCCTCTTAGAAACCAGATCCTCCTCTGACTTGTTCTTACGTGTTGCATGCTGGTCTAATGGTTTCGGTTCTCACACGACAAGTTATTCGATTAGAGTCAATGGTATGTGGTCAACCAGCTTGTCTAACACTACTAATCTCCTTTCTTAATCTCCACATCTACCAAGGTCACGTTTGCCTGGAGAAGAGTAGAGTCTTTCCATCGCTGACCCAGCCATTTTACCCTCATTATGCGTCAAAGCCAATACTGCTATACGCAGTTTAACCGTGGTTCTTGCTCATTCGTTAGAACAGTTGCGTCTATGCCATATAAGTACACTCACCTGATAAAGACAAGATACAGGTGGATTTTCTCTGCCCGAAAAATTGGACAGGTTTCTGAAAGCACTCGAGTCTAGGGTGTTCCTACTATTTATCTGTTGCTGGATAGTACCATCTCTGAACTTGATGGTGTCAAGATACTTAAACTGGTCAGTCTCCTTAAGGGCTTTACCTTCTTGTTCCACTTGTAGATTAGTTGTTCCGCATTTGTTTATCACTTCTGTTTACTTTTGGGTCTTACGGAAGAGGTCTAGTTTTGCAGATTTCAGATCACTTCATATTCATTTAGTAACTACAGTTATAAGTTATGGATGCGGTTAAGGTCTGCGGGGGGAGTTTTGGAATATGTATACTGCTACAAGTAGTGGATAGACACTAACGATCAAAATGTAAACTTTTATTGCTTACTTGTGGATAATATTTATTTGTTTAGTTATCGATGTTACTTGATGTATTAATCTGCATGAACCATAACGTTTGTTGTGCCCTGTGGATGCTGCAGCGTCTTATATCTTCGCTTTATATGGTCATACGTCATGATTCTACTTATGGTTTTTACTGTGCTTTCCAAGATATACGTGAATCTAGCAACTTTCTGAATGATTAGCCACGCCCCGGTGATACCCAAATCAATAAATCTATCCTAGGATATTCGGAACTGAAATTCGCAATAGTTTCTCACTACTTACATTATCAGTATATGTGATTCATCGAAATATGTAGCATTCATTCGTTTATGAATCCGCCACAAGTCTAGCCGAGTTCAGTTAAAATTGGTGATGTTTCCACATTGTCCCTTAAATGAGCCATTTCGTAAGCCCATCTTCTTTTGATGTCATACCTGGCAAAAAAGCACGTCCGTTTATCAAGTCATGTTGCATATGCGTCCCAGTTTCTTTTGCAGCTGAGCATTTTTAGCTCAGCGAGCGTGACAACGAAGGTTCGATTGATTCGTTTTATTTCCTGTCTTTTACGAATTACAATTGCTGATTTTAGGACTTATGATCTGTACTTCTACAGTTGCAAGTCAGGTGATGCCCACACCTGACAATTCAGTCGTCGACAGCTCTAAGAACAGCTTTACCGAAGATAAACTGAAAACAGAGACTAAGGTCCCCGTCTGTTTGCCTGTAGGAAACGCTGCTGCTTCGATGCCCTTACATTGGTCAGTGGATGATTCTCTGTCGACCACCACTACCGCGACTAACAGACAGTTCTTGATTATTCCTGTCAGCCAGGTTTCTTCTTCGCAGGTTGTAGTCGGTGGTGGCGATACTTCGTACTATCTGCTAAACAGCAGGGCGATGCCTGTTGTGGCCCAAACTGTGTCATCCGTGGCCGATTCTTCGTCGATGTCCAGGTGTGCATTTTCACATGACCGACTGTTAGAAGTTTTGGTTTTCACACAGTGCGTTATTTTAGACTACCGTCCGATTTGGTGTTCACACCGGCGCCTTGTGTATCTGTTCAAAAACTACCTCAAGTTATTGTAGACAGTGCGACGGCGGGGTCCTCTCAGCCTACGCTGCACAGTACAACTTCAGTTCCTACCAGGGACGACTCTAGGCATATTTCAACGCAGGTACTATATGTATATAATATGTATTTTATATTACACATATGAACGTGATATAAATTATTTATACGTAAAACGCTTAAACGAATTTGCTTCCAGCAGGCATAACGAATGCGCGGGCAGATTATTGAATTAATCTAAGCTACGTAGTCCTGTAAACGACCAGTTATTTAAGCCTGACGGCCTTATCATTTGAACGATTGGTTCCATTATGGAACCCATGAGTTCAGTCAAACTGTGTAGCAGCAGCCTCTTGCGGATATTTGTTTATTATTACCTCTGC